ACGCTTGTTGATCAGATGTTGAAGCATGCGTTTGCTGTTTGAACCTTGGACTACTTTTTCATGTGCCATCGCCATGTAACTCATTACAACCAAAACCAAGAATACGATTGAAAAAAGTTGTTGACTAACCTGCATAGTTGTTAAGTGTAGTTGGACGTTGAGAAGAGAGTATTGTGTAAATATGCACAAGATGAAATTGGTATGTTTTTAAATCGATGCGCGCGTCCTTTTATATCCCACCGATAGCGAGTGGATTTCGTACTTAATAATCAGATATTTTTACTTAAAAATCATATTTTTGCACTTTGCCCAGTAAACAAAGGGATTTTTTACTCATAAATCGGATATTTTTACTTAATAATCGTAATGCTGCATTTTACCTTCGGTGACTCACCACTTAACCATAGGATTTTTACTCATAAATCGGATATTTTTACTTAATAATTGTAATTTTGCACTTTACCTTTGGTGACGCACCACTTAACAATAGGATTTCGTACTTAATAATTGTAATTATGCACTTACCAATGAGAATTTGCCACTTGTCTACTTCACTTTTGCGAACTTAAAAAAGATGAAGTTTAAATAGATAAATTGAGTTCAATTATTTTATTGACCGTGAAATTAAGTTGTGTGTAATTTTTGAATAAATATTTTCAGTTTTATAATTATTTTTTATAAAAATTTGATAAATGTGACTCTACAGTGAAATTTAATTTTTATCAGTATTAAATGAGATTTTATTCTATTTTGGGGTAAATTGAAATTGATTGCTACAACTTGTAGAGGATGCAAGTTTTTAGTTGAAAGGCGTTTTTGAATAACGAATAATAACTGTAAGATGTAGAGGGCGTACGTTATCATACACAGAAATATTTTCATAGAAGAGTAGCTGCATTTTTTACAAAGTTATATTAGCTATGAAGAAGTGTGACAATATTTTTTTGTATTAGTTATCAAGTATTATAATATTAACTTATATAGACTTATAACTTGATTTTCTAATTGATTTCGGCTGATGAGTAAAGTCAGAGACAGCTGTATGTAATTAGTGTAACGGAATAGAATTGAATATTTGGAGTAGATTTTATTACATGAGTTTGATTTTTAAAGATTGATAAAAATATAATACTCAAAATCAATGAGTAAAAATCTATGTAACGTCAGAATACTTCATATTTTATTAACATACTAGAAAAGTAAAACGTAATGATGTGTGGCTGCATAACAAACAAGCAAACGCACATATTTGCCTCTTTTTGTATCATATATTATCATAAATGAAACAAAAAAATGTATCTGATATAGAAGGGTGTAGCTGGCATGTCAACATCTTAACGCATTTCACACTCTCACGTCCTCAATAATTTTGCATTCTATATGTTTAAAAAAGATAATCCACAAAGATTCATATTTATTCAATAGTAGGATATATATTAAAAACACACTTCCTACAAATTTTTTTAATGAGAAAAATAAAAAATAGAGTTTTTAAAGTATTGATACATTTTGACTGTTCGTTGAGATTTGAAGAGATATATACATTATTTAAAAATTAATTTGTATAGAGTAGAACTGTAGCACCCATTTTAGTTGGTTGATAGACGTTAGGACGTGCTTTAAATCATTGAGTTGTTATATCAATTTCATATGTAGCTACACGAATATAATTGATGGTGATTTTTTCTGAAGAAGGTGCACGAACAAATCCTAAACAGACCTATAAAAAAATATATATATATATAAAAATGACAGATTATTTTTTTCATATTCTATACTTGTTTTCCAAGTGTAAAGTCAAATGCTGCAGAAGTAACAAATCCACAAAATTCACCATTACGATAAATAGGTTCACCACTCCAAGGCCTATAATAAAATTGTATAATTATATCATTTATATAACAGTTCAATAACCATGGATCTGAACCAAGATTATAATTTTCAAGAAGAAATTGAACAAATCTTTTTTATACACCATCTTGTTGTTAGATTTTATTTTTACATCAAATGACATATGATATTGTCGATTTAAATGAAATGGTGTTGTTTTCTTATCGATATCATGTCTCCAAGATAGGTAAATACGTTCAATTCGAAAAGTTCGTTGAGTAAAGTATCTAAATTAATATACATAAATAGGAATTTATCAAAGTTATTAATATTACCCAGCATTGATTATTCCATAAACTTTACCTTGTTTCATTAACATATCGTATACACATAAAACAAACTAGAAAAGAAAAATAATCAGCAACAAGTATAAAATATATTTCGCTTCTGATGGAATATAAAGCATATCAACAGTAGCATTAGTTATCACTCATTTACTATTCCTATTCTTTTTTTTCATTATCATTAGTCGATTCATTCTTAACATTTGACTTACTTGACAAGTCATTCTTGCAAAATCATTAAAATTTTTATCACTTAATTCAGATAGTAAATATTTGGCTTTTGATCCAATTACATTCAATGCTGTATAAGGTGAAGTTACATTAGGCAGAAAAATAGAATTTTCTTCTGGTACATGTGTTTTAAGCCATTTCACAGTGCGAGTTGATTGCGAAGTTGGAGTCACCAAAAGAAAACTAATAAGAGAATAAAAATGTTATATTTATATAAAAAAACATCGCATCTTACTGATATTCTCCTAGATATATAATAGAACAATCATTTTCATAACCATCTTGTTCATGTAATATTTCTATATGCGCAACAGTACTAATTGGCTTACTAATATTATGTGCACAAAGCACTTGAAGAAAATCCACAACACTTCGATTTGCTGATTTTAATTCATATTTTGTAAATGATGTCATATCAATAACATCTACACCTTTTCGACATGCATTATATTCTTTTTTAACTTTATGAAATCATCGTGCTTTACCAAATATACCTTGTTTACTTAAGTCTTCAAAATCTTCTGTATTACAAAAAAAAGAAATAAAAAAACATTTTCTTTTAGTTTCAAAATACTTTTTCCTGCTTCATCTGGTTTAAAAAATAGTGGACGTTCGTAACCAAGTACTTCGCCGTAAGTTGGATACTTCAATCAATATTGTTTTCCTGTTATAAACTAATATAATAAAACCAAAAAAAACAAGGAAATATCTAAAGTTTTACCTGATATTTCTCGTAAACAATCTTGAAGAAATCGTTTAATTGTATGTAAACGTATAGAACATCGTATATCAACAGGCCATATACTTAAATTTGTCTTTCCATTATGTATTAATTCAGCTATATATGTTCCAACACCACCGACAAGCGCTGTACCATGTCTATTAGAACCGGACGCAACGAAATAGTTATCAATCTAAACATTTCTTTATTTTATAAAATATTTCTATTCATTGAATAAATAACTAACTTCAGCTGATTGATTCATTATTAATCGACCATCCGGTGTAAAACTATCAGCATCACTAATTAATGGTTCACATTCACTTTCAGGTAGAAGAGGAAATCGTTTGATGATAGTATTACTTAATGTCCAATCTAGGCAATAATTATAAATATATGATGAATACAATGATGATAACCTACGAAAATCATCTCAATTATCGGGTAGAAGTGAAAAATGAAATGTATCTGGAGCACTATCTGAAAAAATAGATTCTTCAGAATTATGAACCGTTGGAAAATTTGCCATTGATTTAATTTTTAAACATATATATTCTATATAATAATTTTCAAAATAGAATTTAATTTATAAATTACCACATGCTTGAGTAGGAATTCGTACACTTGGTGAAGTTTGAAATCCAAGTTCGCGTGCCCACTTAAAATATAAATAAATAGTTAATTATTTTCATATACAAATAGAATACATTACATTTAATATGACCTTTTGATGTTACAGCACCAGATGCACGATCAGATTGTCCAGTACGTTGTTTTTCTGTAAGACTTTCTTAAGCAAATGTTAAAGCTAATGGTACGGGATCAGCCATAAAATCATTCGGTAACCAAAGACCACCCTTTAGATACATATCATTAAATAAAACATATATATTATAGAAATCTATTTCATATCCAAATTTCATGCGGATCAATAATTGGTACTTTTTCTCTTAGTTTTTCATGAGTTAATATTTCACAATCGATTCCTAATGCTTTTGTAGTGGAATATTGACGTTTAAGTGTATGGAGATGGTCAGATGTTTGAGCTACCCATAAACTTCCCTTTTTCAATGAAACCTATTGAATATAAATCATAATATAAAAGAAAAAATTTCAATATTACCAATATCATCTCCTTCTTTATATACTCGTTCATATAATTCTCTTGAATATTTTGTAAATGAGATACTTAATCAGAACTTTGCCATGTTGAACCCGATGCTAATCTATTTCAATACAAATAGACTCAATGAAATATAAAATATATTTATTACTTTGCTTTTTCGATGAGTACAATATTTTTAACATTTAATTCACTTAAATGATATGCAACTGATTGATCAATAATTCCACCACCAGCAATAAGTATATTACATGATGATGTGGTACAGTAGGAGATTCATGTTGATCATATGAAACTGAACGATGAGGAATGAAGGACAAACAAGAATAAGAACTGATCCTCTAAAAATATTGTCCATAAAAAATCAGTTTATGTTGCAGTATGTAAGCCTGCAAACATCTGAACAAATGATCTAAATATTAAAAAAAATAATTATAGTAAATTCTTTGAAAACCAGAAATATAGAGTGCAATTTCATGACGACGAGGTATCATTATTCATGCTTGACGTCGAACGACGTGTGTTAAAAAACTAGACATGTAAAAAAAACTGTTCAATATGCGAAAAAAAATCTAAGATAATTGCTAAAAGTTTGATAGAAGATCAGTTAATAATGTTCTTATCGATACTATGTCTTTTGAATGCAAAGATTACAACAAAATTCTAGAATGCTTTACTATCGGTAAGAGAACGCAATAGAAATATTCTTGTTTATGTCATGTTCTAAAACAACTAACGCTTTAAAATATCCAAAGGATTAATCAATAAAAATACTACATCGTGTGACTCTATACAAAAACATAAGTAAAAAATAATATCATATTCTTATCTGCTTTTTCCTATTCCAAGCCTTTATATTATAATAATATTCTAGATTTCTATTTTAAAGTTCTAATTAAATGTTTTATTCAATATTGATCATCATAATTATAGTATAGAGTACTTGATAAATATTCTAACAATGTTTACAGAGTTTATTTGTATTACAATAATATCCGAATCGATTAATTACATAAAAGGATAGATTAGTAAACAATATCATAATGATATTCATTGGATAAAAAATTATTTGCTTTATTATAAACATATTTAATTGAATACTACTAGCGCTATTCGTCTCATTGCTCATTTAAAATAACTTCAATCATGATGATAACAATATGGATGAAGAGGAATATGTATATGACATAAATATATTTTAGATTGCTACTCAAGAACATACGGATGAAGAATTAAATGTATTAAAATCTATCTATTTGGATGATTTAATTATAAATTAAGAACATCCATTTTCTTTGAATATAACAGTCTATCCTAATGGAGATGAAAATAATTTAGATCGTGATAAACGTTTATTATATATAACACTCATTGTAGAACTTCCATCGATATATCCAGATTTAAATTCATCAAAAATAACTCTTTGTCATCTTCGTGGTTTAACAGATGAACAAATCAATGAATTAAATTCTTTAATATATTCTTGTCTTGAATCAAATATTGGTTCTTGTGTACTTTATGAATGTATCGAATCCATACGTTCGAAATTATCTGTTTATGAACTTCCACAGGAAGCTTGTGCTATATGTTTAGCATTAATAAGTAATCGAAATGATATAATAAAAACGAATCATCATCATTTTTATCATAATGAAGAATTAAAAAAAATGGATTTTATATTGAACGTGATGTTCGCAATGATATCGAAGAGCCTGTACGTCGACAAATACTTACAAATAATATTATTGAACAATTACCATCATTATCATACTCGACTGAGCAAAATTCCAATAAAGAGCATCAAGAATTAATTAAAAAATTTTCACCACATATAAAACAATGACAAGAAAGAACACATGCACTTTCTGAACAATAAAAAGAAAAAGGAGAAATTATTAATCTTGATAAAAATCAAGATATGATATTTAGTTAAATAATTTATTTTTTATGTTATTTATTTTGTTTTCTTTTTCGTTTGAAATTTTTCAGATTGAAATTGAAACTATTTTATATGAAATAAAAGAGATTATAAAAAAAATTTCATGCTTTGTAAATGAACTTTCAAAGGTTTATGGTTAGATTATCGTAGTTGAATGAATCGTTATTATTTTTATGAATAATTTTATGGTGACTCATGTGATTTGTTTTGATAAAATATTTAGAGATGTATGACATTTATGAGTGTGTTGCTATAATTACAATGTATGGTACTCAATATCAAACTGTATCTATTAAAATTAACAAAGCTTTTAGTGATCATATGGATTTATCCTATTTTCATCAATTTGATTATATAAACAAAGCTTATGTGTGAAATGAAGATTGCCCAGATAAATACATTATTCATAATTCGTACAAGTTATCTGTATGCATTTCTATTTAATTACTAGTAAATTAATTTTTGTTTTATTTAGATAATGCTTTATCATCAAATACTATTTATATGTCTGAAACATTCAATAATATAGAGATACTAATATATTGCAATGATTAATAATTTTACTATTCTTCTTATGCTCTGCATCATATCATTCTGATCGTCCTTGAGCATTAGTAATATTCAATTAATAAACTGAAACGAATTTTTCAAATAAAAAAACATGACAAAAATTGTTTCCTGATTTTTTTTAGGTATTTTTGAATATTTTGAATGTAGTTATCTATCATTAGTAAAGTCTTGTTGAGAGTGTAGGTGAGTGCCACATATATCGAAGATTCATACCCACACCCTCAAGCCAAAAATCAACGAACATTTTGTCCAGAAACTTTTGATTCGTCCATTCGTTAAAATAATACATATATTTTATTACAATAAAGTGTCTCTTGAATACTATTATAACTCGTATTAGACAGCTAGTCCGCGAGCAAATCATCGAAATTCGAACGAAATCGTTTGTTGCTTTTCGTAGAACAGACGAAATCAGGTGACGTCGGTGATTGACAGCTCGAGCACTTGTTCGTTGCCGGCAGGATGTTTGCTAGACAAGAACAATGAGTTTAGTTCGAATACAAGTAGTAAACTTACGTGTCATATAGAGAAAACTGAATTTTGCAATGACCTTTTCATCCTGTTCAACAACGATTAAAACCACTCGATCTTGTCCATTTGGGTCTATCAGACATGCCGGTGTCTGAAAGACAATCGTCTTCATATCAACCAGTTCGTATTGAATATTCTTTTTCTGATTCAATTCCACATAATCGAAATATATAGAAAATCCTTCGAAAAAAAACAGAAGAAATATTAAACAAAAATGAAAATAGAAATTACGACTTCTTTGATCCAATTTATTAAGCACTATTAAAATCGTATCGCCACCTGTCCAGTTACCCTTTTCTGGTGCACATATGCCCCATTTTTCATCATGATCGCTTTCTGTCACGACTGGAGCAGCAGTATCTTCGTTTTTTACACACTTACTATGTTGCTGATTGGTTCCATCGGATATCACCTGAGATGATACAGAAGAGCCAGTGAGTAGATTGAATTCTTCATTGTCGATGTATTCGACTCGAGAAAAAACAAGTTGCGATTTCCATAATTTATACGTTTCAATTAGTTGTTTGCCGCGGCATTTATTCACGATACCAAGAACATGTCTTTGGTCTTTCAAATGAGAAGAAAACATAGTTTTGTTGTTGTTATTATTATTTTTTTACCGGAGCCGACAATGCGCAAATGGTTGTGTGATTTGAGTACACTTTGTAGCAGTTTTTTGCGCGTAAGGTGGAAACTGAAGAGCAAATGAAAATAGCAAAACAATGAAGTACTTGCGACGTTTTTTAGTACCTTTTTCGACCGCTCTGAAAATCGGCGTTTGTGATCGGAAAGTATAGGGCATTGTTAGCAGGATCTGTCTTAACGCTAGGATCATCGGTACCAATTGGATATGGATGCACACACACGATAGGTTCCTTATCATTTGGCACAGTAACAGAAGCTACGCGAATGTATTGTGGTTGAGTAGCATCACGCCATTCTCTTAATATCTAATTAAGAAAAAACGAGAATATATTTTTCTGTGTTTTAGCAGTACACATTTGTTTCGAAATATGAATGAGAAAAGTTACAGTTAAATAACGCTTCCGAACAATTTTTTGTTACATTTTTTCACCTCTATAGTTGGATATTTGAGATCCAAATGATTATCTTCAGCACGAAGATAACGTTGAACTGGATTACCAGTTCTATATTGTTCACTGTCATATCGCTCACGATAGAGTGCCTTGGGTTGTGCAATTATTCGAAGTTGTTGATTTGGTTGAGTCATTGTGAAAATTTAACTTAATTAATTGGTGTGGAATTTGTATTTCGAGATCTAAATGAAGTAAAAACATACAGAATTGATAAAAATCTCAATAAAAAATCTAGTCTCGTACTCAAGTCACATCAAAGAAAGGCACGGTTCGGGTTTTTTGAAATTCAAACTCGTGTTAAAAAAATGAAAGATGACTGGGATATTTTCTGTTGTTATTCAGGTAGATATTATACGTCAGCAAAAGGGAAATTTTTTGTTTATCAAAATATCATGTCTACACCTTCCAGTCATCGTTTATTTAATACGTATATCTAATACTGTAGTTGATTGAGTAAAATAGATAAAAAAAATCGACGTAGTCAGATTAATTTATTATTTTTATTATTCTATCTGTAACTAGCATTTAGTTAGAGAAAAATATCTCCTTACTTTGAAAAAAATCAAGTCAATTAGTACGTAGTTATGATCGTTTATTTAATGTGATCGTCTATACAAGCCACGTCTATTACTGCAATATTTTTTTTTCTTTTTCTCCTCAAAATATATATATAATAATATCTATTTCTTATTTTTAATAGTCGTCTGATGCGTCACTCACATTTCGGAGAGTGCATCGATGTTTATGCTTTTTTTCATTCTTCAACAAGGTATATACAACGCACATTTTCTTTTGATGCTTGAAATCTCTTTATTTATTGTTTTTCACATAATGAAAAAAAAAGAAAATATTGAAATAACAATTTTTATCTTATAGTCGTAGGACTATCTACAAAATTTGTGCCTGGCATTGGTTTAAATATTGTTTTTCGTGCTTCAACATCAGATAGAGTCATTAATTGGTCCATTTTAGTTTGTAATCGTTTAAGTCGATAGCCCAATAGTGGATTCCAATGATATATTGGAAATGATAAACCACCACTATTTGGTATTCTAACACGTGTTTTAGTTCGTTCACCATCTTGATCAAAAAGATCTTTTCCATTAGGTAATAATTCACGTAAAATACGATTTCTTTCAAGTTGTTTTTCCAGAAATTCAATTCCACCTTCAAGCATATCTAAACCATAGGCTGTGGTTGATGAATCTCGTGTACGACTAATTTGCATATTAAGAAGACGACCAACAAATGGTGACAAATAAAAACATAGAAGACCATTTAAAAGAAGAAAATGAAAGAAAAGAAAACGTTTGAAACGTGTTTGAAATTGTAAACGAAGACGTGTATAGAGTGTAAATGGTAGAAAAAATGAACTAGCAACAACCATCCATGGAATCATATGCCATGCACTAGATGCAATTTCAAATTGATCAGCAATCATATATTTTTTCGCATCATCAGATAGAAAAAATGTTTCAATTAATTTTTGTAGTAATAACATGTCGCCTAAATGAAATATATATAGTTTGTCTTCATTTTTTAAAACATAAGAATATTTTACGTGTCATTGGTATATTTGATGTTGGTGAAGGCAAAGATGATGGTGGTGCTGGATTGGGTGCTGGAGTATTACTAAACCATCGATTAAACCATGATTTTGATTCATTTAATGTTTTAACTGTTTCTTTTATTTCATTTTTTAATTTTTCATTTTTATTTAAATTCAAATTTAACTTCGTCTGATCTATTCCTGATAGATCAACATTGGTAAAATCTATGACTTGACCACTAATATTTATTTTAACTTTTTTTAAATCATCAATTGATGTTATATTAGCCCATTCGGGAATCATTAAATAAACAATACTATTAAATAATGGTGTAAAATGACCATTAAGATCAAAATCAATTCCTCTATGTACACTGGAACGAATATCAAAATTAGGTGAACGACGCATTTGTTCAGGTATTCGCATTCGATAAGCAACCTATGATTAAAATAATTAATGAATAAAATAACAAAAGAAAATTTATTTACTTCAGTTGCAAGTCGATTATAAGATGAATCAACTTTAATAAATTCTCCATTTTCATTTGTTGTTCTTTGAAATCGATATTTTAATGTTTTCTCGGGTTGAGCCATTGTATAAACATATGGACCGAGAACAACACTTGCACATGCTGCTGCACGAAATAATTTAGCAAATTGACCTCTCTGTCCCTGAGCTGTCATCTACAATGATGGAATTTTTACAATAAGGAGAAACAAAAAATTAGAGATATTTGCAGATATATTTTATTAAGATTTTCGTATTCGTTTTACATCAGTACAACCAACACGAAGTGGTGGTTGATTTTGTTTTTTACGATTATCATTAACAATAGAATTAGGTTCATTTGATGACGAAGATGAGCGAGCTGGTACTGTTGGACGACTTTGACTAGATGGAATTGATTTTTGATTTCGATGTTGTGGAAATGAAGGCATTAATTCAGTTTCACAAGGTAATGG